ACTGGCACCAGGGGCAGTGGGTCCCTGGAAGCTTGGCAGGCCCAAAATAGCTCTCTCTCTCTTGCAGACGGGTCACATGAAATTCTCCAGAGGCAAAGGGCCGGTCCAGAAATAGCAGGCAAGACGCTCCACCGCGGTCTTCCCAACGCTCTTCTTCCCAACTTGGCCCAGGTTTCTTCTTCCCAACTTGGCCCAGGCTGGCCATTTTGCTGTTGGGAGGAAATCGAGAGCAACGTTTTGCTGCAGCGGTGGCTGTTCGTGCACCCACGTGTTCCAGTTTCGGCCCTGTTTCCGAACTCTGTTTGGGGACGTTAAAGGCGTGTGTTTCTGGACTGGGAGGGACATCCTGCCCTTGAGCGTGGAAGCTTGGATCGAATGACCAGATGCCAGCTGGAGCTTCCTGTCATCGTTGCCCAGATAGGAAATGAAAAAGCACAGCGATGCAATCCCGGCGACGGCCACTGTGAGATGAAACAGTCGGTTTATAAATACGATCTTCCCTCTTACATAAAGACTTGGCTTCTGAAGACTTCACAGCATGTTTTATTGCCAGAAACACAGTGGTGGCTCGCCATAGCCTTCTTTCAGAAACTTTCTGGACTTCCCAGTCCAGCCTCTGGCCCTGGGGTTTTCCTGGTGGTCTCCCATCCCCGGACCAACCAAGGCTGACTTGCATGGCTTCTAAAGTCAGCCAAGGCCAGCTAGGGGCTTCCTCTATAGAGACTGCAATAAACTGGCTGGCTGCAAACTTTACTCTCCCTTAGATTAACCTAAATCAGAAGAAATCTGGTAGCACCTTTCCTGACGAACCCATTTTTTTTGATTGTAAGATTTGTTTGCGGGAAAAAGTGCTACCAGACACCTGAATTCATAGATTAACGTAGTTCTCTTCCTACATTAGCTTAACCTACTAACCTTAACTTAATCTGCAAAGTTACAACAGGCAGGGATGATGTGTACGACACCACTTGAGCTCCTTTAAAGGAGAGACAGACAAATGTAATAATGAATGTATTTCCGCAGAAGGGAACTACTTCGATAGGAAAGGAGCATCTTTGATTTCCTGAGAATAAAGCAATAGGGGCCCATAAGAGTTTCTTTTCCCCCTTGTCTAATCTTCCTTTTACACAGGCTATCGTCTTATATCAAGCCTGTTTCCTCTTAGATTAATAGGGGTAAAGAATTTTAATTTGGACTCCAGCTGTACGTGCCGTTCAGCATCAAGACAGTGCCGAGCAGTAACTTCATCATCATCAGCCACGTGGGTTGGGGATGGGGAGGACCCCCAAACCTCACCCCTGTTTTAAAAAGGGGCGAGAAAAATTCCTGGGGCTGGGGGCGGCTTTGCAACCGCTCTAGATGAAAATAGTCAAATAAAACTTCTGAATGCTGGAGGAGGGGAACAAGAGAGGGGGAATGCTGTCAACAGGGAGAGCCCAAGAAGCATTGGCTTAGTCATGTCTGAGAATCAGAATGACTGTAAAGATGTCCTTGAACCCAGTTTGATTCCTGCTGGCGACCCAGGCGCAACCGCGCTGTTTCTGTGGCCACGGGAGAGGCGTGGTTCACTCCTGCCCACTTTGGGGGCGTTGGGTTGACTTCCCAATCTATTCCCAACCCCGAATTCAAAACAGAGCTTCATTTCGGAGCCCAGGAAGGTTGGCGAGATGCGGAAGAAGAGAAGGTTGGCTTTGATCTTGGAAGACGCTTCCTAATGAAGGGATGCAAACAATTAAAATGCAGATTGATCTTTTGGGAGTCCCCTTCAGGAGGGCTTGAAGAGCACGGAGGAAATTTCTCCTCGTTTCTCCTCTCCCCTTTTACAAGATGCCAAGATGCCCAACGCCGCCGCCGTCTCCGATCAGCTGCTTCCTTTCCTCCCCTCCTTGCTATGGAAAGAAAGCTTCTTCTGGGCCAGAAGGACTGAGTCAGAGAAACCACAAATCTGGGACACCAGACAGACAAAAGAAGTCTCCCCGCCAGGCCGATGCAGAAGTTAAAAGCGGGAACGGCGATGAATACTGTTACAGTAAAAGCCGCCAGGATTTCAACCACCCCCATTTAGGACCCATCGAGATTCCAAAAGCGGGTTGGGGACCAATACAGTGGTACCTCGGGATACGAACGCCTCTACTAACGAACATTTCGGGTTACGACCAACTCGGGATACGTCCAGAGTCCCGGAACGGATTAAGTTCGTATCCCGAGGTACCACTGTATTTATATTTCATTCTCTGAGTGACCTGGTATATTTATTTCAGGGCTCTTCTACGCCTCGTGGAAGTGGACGGCTGGGGGGGAAGCAGCATAAACCGAGTGTGGATATGTGTTGATGGAATTTCTTATAGAGCAAGGGCAGAATTATGAGAGACCCGCAGCGTTGATGGCAGAGGAGCTGGTCCTGGTTGAAAAACAAGCGGGCCTAGCCAAGAAGGGGCCCTGAATCAAGGGCTGAAAGGGATCCCTGGAGGTCATCCAGACCAACCCCTTGCTTGGGGCAGAATCTACGAAGAACTTTAACAGAACTTTCTCACCCGCCTCCTTTTAAATAAATCCAGCAACCTGCACTGAGGGCATCCAATCCACCCACCGCTTAATTCTCCTCTTCCCTGAATGATGGATTTTCACATATGTGTCTCTTCAGATTGTCTCCTTGTCATTGTCCCGCCTCAAGGCAGGATTTGGCCATCTACCTTTCAATCAGTAGAGAGACAAAAACTTTCATTCTTTCCAAATACCGGAGGGCCATTAGAAGGTTCACTTGTCTTGCAATTTTATTTTGCAACCCAATTTTGCATTTTATTTGAGATAGGTCTAGGTAGTTATCCTTCTAATCTTACAAAGTTTTCCATGACTGGCTCCTTTTGAAAGGAGGTCATCTTTCAAGAAAATCCATGCCTTCAGAAAGCGGTGACTTGATTGATGGATGGATTGATTGATTGATTTTTAAGGATAGCACAAAGTCCTCAAAACTTGATCCCTCTGTATTATATCCAGACAGGAGAATAAGAAATCTGTCTGAGGTCCGCCTCCTGCAGGCCACAAAGCAGAAATACATCCATATTGCAAGAGTTTTGAAAATACTGAAATTTCAGGGGGTGAAATATTGTAATTTGGGTCGGAGTCTAGAAGAAACAGCTGCCCGGATCAGCTGAGGAAACAGCTGCTCGTCTAGCCACCTTAGTTCCCATCCCCATTCATGATCCACACAAAAGAAAGAGGATGCAGGTCAGAGGCGGCGTTTTAAAATCCATCCGAGGCTTCAAGTTCATAAAACAAGCTTCCAGGTGTTTCCAGAGCTCTTCAACAAACATGGTCGACAAAGCAGAAAAAAATGAAAAAGGACAGAGACTCGATGGTGGAAAGAGGGTTTCCCCCCCATTTTTGCTTTCTTTATCCTCTTCCTTGATGGTGCTGATGATCTCAAAATCTTGCACACTACTTTGTAGAAAAGGTATTGTCATAATATGGCATTTATTACCTCCCTTGTTCAACCCTTTCTTTTCCCTGGATTCAATTTTAGATGGCTCTTCTGCAGCTTCTATTTTGCAGAATCATTGCAGGCATAACATTACATAGTTACCAGGGCAGCCAAAAAAAGGATATTGGCAGTTCTGTGAAAGCCAACGACAGCTGGAAATTGGATGAGGGGCTAAATATACTTCCGATCCAACGAGGCAGTTCTTCCAGCCATAGAAGTCAATTCAAGCCCCACCGCTCACCCGTACTGAAGAAACTTCAACAATAATCAGAAGGATCGTGAGGTTAAAAAGTTTAGCCACGGACAAACAAGGCTTTATGCGTAAAGTTAATGAACTAGAACTCCAAAGCAGGGCAACAAATCGTATAAACCAGGGTTTCTCAGCCTCGGCAACTTTAAGCCATGTGGACTGCTGGCTGGGGAATTCTGGGAGTTGAAGTCCACACGGCTTAAAGTTGCTGAGGTTGAGAAACCCTAGTATAGACTCTAAAATGATGCAGAAGTCTCTTTTGTGTTTGAACAATGATGCTTTCTATCACTAGGTGTCACTCAAGGACAGAGAACCCGATCGTACTAAAATTCAGGATAATCCATTTGGGGACCTGGGGGATGTTGTTCTCCCAGCCCTTCAAAATGATCAGGTTTTCGGGGCAGAAATGGAGTGTCCTGCAGCTGGCTCTTCCCAGTCCCGGATGAGCAGAAGTCCTCCAGGATCAGCAGCCAAGTTCATCGGAGACCGCCTTTGGGGTTCTTTTTGTTAATGCCACACCTCTGGCAGGGGTGGGTTTCGAACTCGGCTCGCGAGGAACCAAGATCGCGTGGACTCTGTGATCTTCTCGATGGCGCGGCCCAAGATGGGTCTTCTGGCTGGGGCTCGGGGCTTAGAAGGGTGGAAGATGTAGATCTCTTGGCTCGGCTGCTGATTCTGGAGGACTTCTGCTCACGCGGGACTGGGAAGAGCCAGCTGCAGGACACTCCATTTCTGGAAAGGCTTTGCCCCGAGAACCTGATCATTTTGAAGGGCTGGGAGAATAACATTCCCCAGGTCCCCAAATGGATCTCCCACCCTTCTCGTGCAACTGATGACCAACGTTCCCCGCCTGATCCCGTCGGAGCGAGGGTGCGCGCCATGCTCAACATCTGTGGGCTTCCATTAGTCCCCCTCCCACACAGCCCCTTCTCCCTCTTCTCCCTCCCTCCCACCCACCCACAACTCTGCCTTCTGAGCCTCCGAGAGAGGAGCACAGAAGCAGATCTTCCGGGGCCAGCTGACACCACGCCAATCTCTCGCCCACCCTGTCTGTGCCTTCAAAGAGCCAAGGAGGAGGGAGGGAAGGAGCGAAGTCTGTTTGCCATCATCCCCACACATGCACTCCGGTAGACCTTTCAGCAGCAGCTCCCCACAGGAGCAAAGAGGAGGATTTCCTGGGGAGGAGGCAGATGCTGGCTTCCAAACCCAGT